TTTCTGGTGCTGGTTATGTTTGTTGTTAAAATTCTTTGTCCCTCCTGTATCTAAAAATGGCACTGATATCCTTATATATCACACTTGGGTATCTCAGTATCACCCAAGGGGGGTGGGAGAAAAATTTGTACTTGCAGATCTCCCGTACGGTGGCTCAAGCTGGAAATAAAAGTGACTGCTGGATATGCTCTCACAGCCCAGCGCACCTACAACAAGGAATCCCAATGATCGGAGTACCAATATCCCTCCGGCAATGGGGAACAATAAACGGCGGCTTCGTTAGACACTACTCGTTAGCTGCCCATCGGTCCGCTCCTAAAGAATGGAGGGCCGCCCCTGCTAACTGGATAATCTCCCCAAGAGTAGAGGCGCCTTTCTGTTACAGATCCAACAACACCGGAGCTTATAATAAAGCCACACCTGTAGGACACTACCCTCATTGCCTAACTACTCTAGATTATAGCCCCAATAGCACCAGTGGAATCCTGTTGGGTAATGTACCCTCTCTCAATTGTACAGGATTCATGGTCTACAACTTTTCTAAGGAACCTCATGTTGCTCTCATTGCAAACAGATCGGAATTTTACATTGACTCCAATTTTACTTCTTGTAATATATCTCGGTCCAGCAGGATAACAGCTGAACGTGGTCCGTCCTATACGATGCATATTAATCGAAAGTGCCGGATATGGCACAACACCTGTCGAGATTTGAGTACCCTTTCTGCCCCAGGCCTTTACTGGCTCTGCGGAAACAGGGCTCATAAAATCTTGCCCTGGAATTGGGTGGGGGCATGCACTCTTGGACGTGTTATCCCTGGTTTTGAAATGCATAGTACAATATATCTGGAACAAGTAAAAAATTTCAACCATCACATGAAAAGGGCGGTTAACCCCTTAGCTACCAGAAACACAGGGTTCCATCAATTTGTGAGAACCTTCATACCGTGGCTTGGAGTAAGAGAATTGGAACTAGCCATAATTAACATTTCAGCCACAATGGAAGCTATGGGAAATGCCACTGCGGATGCAATTCAGGCTCTGCAAGAAGAGATCTCCCAGATCTCACAAGTAACTATACAACACCGCGTAGCCCTAGATTACCTATTGGTATCCCAGGGAGGAGTATGTGCCTTAGTAAACTCCACCTGTTGTGTCTATGTCAATCAGGACATGCGAATTGAAACTGACATTCGTAAAATCCGAAGTCAGTTAAGGGTCTTACATCAAGTGGCCTCAGAGAATACTGACTGGGGTCTAAAAGAAATGTGGTCTTGGCTAACCTCCTGGCTCCCAGATTCCGGGGCCCTTGGCAAGAAAATCCTGTATGGAATATTGTTTGTCTTGATAGTTCTGATAATGTTTTATGTCTTAGTGCAACTGATCCTCTGCTGCGTGAAAGCCAGCAGGAGAAGCTTTAGCAAGGCAAGAAAACCCACAGCAGAGTCTAGAATAATGGTGTTACAAAAGTGTGAGCAGATTGAAAGAAAACATGAAAGGCTGCACGATGAAATAGAGGGGCTCATGAGAATAAAAATTTAAGGGTAAAGTGAGACTAAATAGTCTCAAAGGGGGGGGAACTGTGGAATCAGAAAAAATATATGCCTTAAACTTTGACTATTTTAGTTATAAGATGACATAACCGCTTTGTGGAGAATTGCTGGCTCTGTATAGTAGAACAGATAAGAGAAAGTGTTTGTTCTTTGTAACTCCTCTGCAACTGCTTCGCTCACCGCGGCCTTGAAGATAGCAAAAAGTATGTACAACTCTGATTTGCAGGTGCAAGAAGGAGGTTTGTGAACTAACCTCGCCTCCCCCATTAGTTCCCATCCTGATTACAGCAAAGAAATAATGAAGTAATGTTATAGCCGCTTTTCATGCTAATTTCACTATATGATCACGTGAGTTATAAGCAACTGTTAAAAAGTATATAAGCCTCCTGATTTTGCTCTTGGGGGGGGACCCCTTCCAAGTGCTTGGGAGATCCATGTCACTTTGGAGTCCCCCCTACAGCTATAGTTTCTTTTAAATAAAAGCTTCTGCTGACCTGACCCAAAAATATGCTACGTGTGTTTCCACGACAGTAGGTAGATGATTCATCTGTGAGAGAAGAAACTGGTGTTGGGTGCACCTGTAGAGTTGGGGTCTAAGGGGTGGGTTCAGGAAGGCTCCAGAGATGAGTGAGAGAGTGGCTTGGGGAAGTAGTGAGGTGGAAAGCAGCAATGACTGGCAAGGTTCTGTTGCACCTGCTTTAGATGGTCACAGCCCGATAACATCTATTTCCTCAAACTAAGCCAATCATCAGACCTCTTGCTTTAAAAATACATGATAGATTCTGTTCTGGGTCTGGTGCTGCTGAGCAGTTTTACTAATGGCTTAGATTCAGGGCTAGAGAGCTTCCTGATCACTGCTACAGATCACACAAAACTGGGAGGCATTGCAAACATGGAGGAGGATTGGAGTAAAACTTCACACAAGTCAGGAATGTGATGCAGCTGCAAAACAACAACAACAACAAACCCCAAAAAACCAAATGCAGTTTGGCCTGCATTGTAAGAAGGATGTAGAGAAACCAGAGAGGATCCAAAGGTAAGCAACAATGATCATAAAGGGGTTGGAATGAGGAACGGTTGAGAGAACTCGACTAGCTGAATTTGGATAACAATGGAGATTAACAGGGCTGGGGGGACCTTGTAGCAGGTTTCAAATACTTGAAGCACTGATGTAAAGAAGAGGGAGAACAACTGTTCTTCCTTGCTGCAGAGGACAGGACAAGAGGCATTTGATCTTAACTGAAGCAAGGAAACTCTTCTTTAGTATCAGAGCAGTTGGAGAGATGGGCAAGCTACTGTACAGGGAAGAAGTGGCATCTCCTTCACTGGAGGGTTTCAAGAAGTGGCTGGACGGATACCTGTGTGGGGTGGTTTAGGAATATAGCGCATCCTTCAGCTGTATGAAGGATTGGACCCTTGACATGACTTTCAGTGCAGTGAAGCTTAAAACCAGAGAGGAAAAAAATCCTCAGCCCTTGTTGATTTTTCACATACAAAATATTTCATATAGATTCTCTAACTATGGTAAGACATTCACGTGGAGCAATTAATCCCTGCTCTATTTCAGTAGTTATTAGCTGTATTTTGATATTGGCAAACTGGCAGGAATATGGTGTTTGATTGAATTTGTGGACCTTTGGAAATGTATGGCAGGGCAAACTAATGAAATAATAAAATAATCTAGTGAGCATCAAGAGAACTCATTAATAGATTGCTATTGATTGAGACCATATTTTATTAGTGCAATCTAGAAAGGCCTCATCGCAAATATAATTCATTGGTAGGGTGCCAATTCCATATTCAGTATTTTATGCTCATATCATAAATATCAACAGCCTGTGAAAATGCTTGGTTTGATAGAGTCTTTGAAAGCCTCTTGACTGATCATGACTAGAGCTGCATTAATAATGGATTGTTTGTTCAGTGGCCAGCCTGAACAAAACACTTTCATTGTGGGTTGATCCCACACAACATTTTTTGTTTTCCAGGTTATTTAACTTTTTTTGAAAAATAGAACAAAAAATTTTGTATTTTCTAAATATTCTCCTGTTTTTGGTTTTGAAACTATTCAGATTTTGCAAAACCACATTTGTAAAATGTTACTGTGTGCCAAAAAATGTCACCCAGTTCTACGACCTGTGTTGTGGCTCCCCAGTGTGGACTATTAAAACATTTTAAAAGAATAAATCATGAGCTAAATCTCTTCTCAACGAGTTCTAACAGCCTCTCTTCCTTCTTGCCATGTAGGAAGAAAGAAGATTCACAGTATGGCTAATGGGGGGGGGGGGAACAAAGTGCCTAGAAATTGGATTGTGGTTGGTTGTTTACCTTGAAGCAGGAAGCCTTTTTGTTTTTTCATGAAGTCATGAGTCCTGGGATTAAATTTCCATTAGCTCCTCCTATTATTAAGATTTGAGGCCATAGGACATGGTTCAGAGCTGGAAGGGATAGGCCAGGCACATTCTATGAGAGAGGGGCTGACTTCACATAGGGGAAGTGCTGTGCATTCTGTTAGGGCCAGCCTTAGTCAACTGAACCCTTGGAGTGTTGCCTCCTGTTGTGCTTCCCTGTGATGGCAAAGGGGAAAGGTCCCACAGAAGTTCCTGATGGTGGTGGAGGTGATAATATACCTGTATCTGTGACTGGCAGGGGCTGGACAGTGTGACCAAGCTGTATGAGAGCCCAACTGGGTCTCAGTGGATGTGGGTTTCTTTCTTTCCTCTGCTACTGGCCACTTGCTTGTCCTACCTGTGTGCCCTTCTTGTCAGGGCAGCCAGTAGGCTGTCTGGGGCAGGGATTTTTCTTACTGTGTTTGCAGAGCATGGAGAGCAATGGAAGTCTGACCTGACTTGGGTGTTAGCAGACCCAAGGCCTGGGGAGACACGGGTCCTAGAGTAGGGGTGCTTAAACTCTGACCCCTGGGCCAAATCAAGCCCATGGAGCCATAGCATCTGGCCTTCAGGGCTCCCTGTGGGTCAACAAATTTGGTGGCCATTAATTTGGTGTCCAGTTGGGGCCAGGCTATGCCCCTTCCCCCCTGTAGATTTCATAGATGTTAGGGCTGGAAGGGACCTCACGTGATCATAGGGTTCAGACCTCTGCCCAAAGAGCAGGAAGTCAAATGACCCCAGCAAGATAAGCATCCAGGCATTTCTCAAAGGTATCCAGAGTAGGTGCTTGCACCACTTCTGTGGGGAGTCTATTCAAGACTCTGGAGACTCGGATGGTAAAGAAGTTTTTCCTTATATCTAGTCTAAAACTGTCTTCCAGCAGTTTGTGACCGTTAGACCTTGTCTTCCTTTCGGGTGCCCTGGTGAACAGATGTTCTTCCAGCTCCTGATGCACACCCCTTATATACTTATAGGCTGCCACCAAGTCCCCTCTGAGCCTTCTCTTCTCCAGGCTGAAAAGTCCCATGCCTCTCAGCCTCTCCTCATAAGGTCTGCTCTTTTGACCTCTAATCATGCACGTGGCTCTCCTCTGGACTCTCTCAAGCTTCTCCACAACCTTTTTAAGGTATGAAGCCCAGAACTGAATGTGGTACTCCATTTGGGGCCTCACCAAGGCTGAGTAAAGCAGGAGGATGACTTCTTGGGTCTTGCTTGAGATGCATTGGTAGATGCAAACCAGAGTTTTATTTCCTTTTCTGGCTGCAGCATCGCATTGGTGGCTCATGTTCATCTTGTGATCAATCATGACCTCCAAGTCTCTCTTGGTGATGGTGCTAGTGAGTGTAGCACTGCCAAACCTATAAGTATGATGTGGATTCTTTCTCCTGAGGTGGAGCACCCTACATTTCTCTGTGTTGAATGTCATCAGGTTTTGATCTGCCCACCTTGCAAGCCTGTCCAGGTCATCCTGAATCACCAACCTATCCTCAAGCATGACCTACTTCCCCATAATTTGGTGTCATCTGCAAACTTAGCCAGTCCACTTCTGACACCCAAATCCAGATAATTTATGACTATATTAAAGAGTACTGGTCCAAGTACTGAGCCCTGGGGGATGCCACTGGTTACCATGCACCATGGGACTCAGTTTCATTGACTGTCACTCTCTGGGTTCGACCATGGAGCCAGTTCCCCAGCCATCAGACTGTAAGATTCTTGAGGCCGCAGTTCCCCAATTTTACCATGAGGACATCATGGGAGACCAAGTCAAAGGCTTTTTAAAAATCTCAATATATGACATCAACCTCTTCTCCCTTGTCCAGGTGATGCTTCACCTGGTCATAGAAGGAAATGAGGTTGGTGAGGCAAGACATACTTGCAATAAAGCCATGTTGGCTATCTCTCAGAATGTTGCTTTCCATTTGCCTTGATTTTTTTTTCCAAGATCTTTCCAGGGACTGAAGTCAAATTGATTGGCTTGTAGTTCCCTGGATCTTCCTTGCTTCCTTCTTGAAGATAGGTACCACATTGGCTCTCTTCCAATCTTCTGGAACCTCTCCAAAGCACCACAAGTTCTCAAATATCCTTGCCATTGGTATCTGGATTGGGGTCAGGACATGTGCCATTATCCCACCACAGGACCAGGTTGAGGCCTGGTCATGCCCCTTTCCCCTCACAGGGCCAGACCATGCCCCTCCACCCTGCATCTAGATCAGGACTAGGCCACACCCCATTTCGCTCACTGGGCTGTGCCATGCCTCTCTGCCTTGCATCTGGATCAGGGCCAGGCCATACCCCCTTCTTCCCCTCCATTGATAGGGCCAGGTTAGGGTTGAACCATGCCCCCTTGCCCCTGCATCTGGATTGGGACTGGGCCACACCCCTTTTTCCCCCAAGGGTCTGTGTTGGGGCAAGTCATGTCCCCTTCCCCTGCAGGGCCATGTTGGGGCTGGGTTATCCCCTGCCTCCCTCCGCATGGCCAGATGGTGTCTGCTGTGCCTACCCTGGGTGCTGGATGGACTGGGCACTGCCAGTCTGTCCTACTAGGCTAAAAGGTTGTGTACCTCTGTCCAAGAGGAACAGCAGTTACTTAAAAAAAATAAAACAAATGCATTTGTGTGGCCATTCTTTGCCTTCTGTTGTTACACCGATCAGCAAGTATTAACAGCAATGAGATTAGAAAGGAAAACATTTCCCTCTTATTGTCAGAGTATACTACCCAGTACGCTGCTTGTAATGGGTTCCACTCTTCCCTGTATAGCAGGGGTGCTCAACCTTAGTAATGGGGTGAGGGGACATGGCCTACCCCTGATTCAGATGCAGTGGAGAAGGGGCATGGCCTGGCTGTGTGGGGCTTGGGATAGCTGTATTAATGGCAACCTCTCCCCTGCTGCCAAATTTGCTGACCCATGGGGAGCCTTGTGGGCCAGATACAATGACTCTGTGGGCCAGATATTGAGCACCCCTGCATTATCAAATTATATCTCATTAACCTATTCTATCCCATGTCATTACAACAATCTCTGGCCTTGGATAAAACTGTACATTGGGTACAGTTGGGTGGTCAATGAGACTCAGATCCAAGATGTGTGTAAGAAGGTGTCAAACTACAAGTGTACACACTTTCACCTCTTGCACTTCCTTCCTTTTCCGGTGGCTTGCTTTTCATGATAAACCATGGTCATTTGGCTGCCTTGATATGTAATTTTACAATAGCATAGAGACATATATTTTATCATCATTTAAGCCACTGATAAATCTGGTGTGAAGGCAGAGAATGTTTGTCCGCTAGAAACAATGCATAGCACTATTAAGGACTGAAAGAGTAGCTTTTCTCTTTGTCTCTTTAAATAAGATCTGCATGAATCCTGAAGTCTTGAATTGAGAACACTTGGGCAAACTAATTAAAAAATTCTGGTTTTTTTCTAACTTCTGGTTGACAAATCTACAGAATTTTTCTTTTCCTTTTCCTTCTTTAATTCTTCCTAAATTGGTGACACACTTTGGAAAGCAGGATTAAAATGCAAGAGGATCTTGATAAATAGCAGAACTGGACAACAGAACTAAACTCAACCAAGTCAAATGTGTAAGGTGCTACTTGTGGAAGAAAAAAATCTGCACAGACAGAATGGAGGATAACTGGCTTGGCAGTAGCACTGTCACAAAAGATCTGGGGTTATGGTCATGAACTCAACAGGAGTCAGCAGTGTGATGTCACAAGAAAAGCAAATGCAACTTGGGGTTGTCTTATCACAAGCAGTGCATGGAGAAGGCAAGGCAGGGTAGCATCTTAAAAAGTAGTGTGACGGGCTAGCTGGCAGTGACCTAGCCCAGGGGTTTTGAAAGGGAAAAAGATGATTGGAGGACTTGGGATTCCCTTTCCTCACCAATCAGGCCCCAGAGACTCACCCCTCATGTCCCCTGATTGGCCCCTTGGGTCACCTGGAGGGGGATAAAAGGGGCAGCACAGCAGATTTTAGGGAGAGACCAGCGAGGGTCCATGAGGAAGGAGCTTCAAAGAGCTGAGCCAGTGGGGTGGAAGCAGTTGCACCAGAAAAGCCTGAAGGAGCAGGACCTGCAGGCAGCAGTTGGACCCTCAGCAGCACGGTGTGTGGCCGGCAGGAGAGGCTTCCTGCTGGGCTCTAGAATCCCCTGCGAGGGCTGTGGCCAGCAGGAGAGGCTTCCCGCTTCAGCAAGGATCTGAGCAGCGACCTGAGGGGTTCCCAGCTTGGCTTCCAGCTCCTCCAATCAGAGACCAGGCAGCTCGATGTGAGGCTGGGGCTCCAAGAAGGTCAAGACCCCTAGCAGCTTGAAACAATACCAGCACTGGTGGCTGTGGGCCATTGTGGTTTTCCCCGTTTCTCCCCCTCCAGGTACCTAGGCCCTATATTCCTTGTCATTGACATTTTGTATTTTGTGCCTTTTTATATTTCCCCAAGCAGTATTATTTGCTCTGCTGTTTGTATTTTATATTTTGTTAACCTTGTCTTTTGTCAATAATTGTAAGTGCCTAACCTTTGTTGAATCCTGCCCCTTGGGGCATTGTAGTGTCTACTATACCCCCTGATTATGCCTGTTATGTTCCCAGTATTGTTCCTTCATTAAAAGGTATATGGTTAAGTCCCCAGTGGTGGTCTGGCTCTGCCCTATAGGGGGAGGAGAGTCCCTACACCTCCCACAGCGCTTGTGCACCTGCTCTGATCCCTTCAATTGGAGAGGGGGTATCTCTTGGAGTACTGCCCGGGTTACACTAACTTGTTCAGAAAAGCATAGGCTTTCATAAGCTACAGCCTACTTTGTCAGATGTTATGAACAGACTTTGTATGCAAAATGTAGGAGGTGATAGTACCACCCTAACCTGATACTACTTAGGCTTCTGCTACAGTACTATGTTCAGTTTTGGTTACCACATTTTTAGAAAGACGTAGAGAAACTGCAGACAATCCAGAGGCCAGTGAAAAGGTGCTAAAGGGAATGGACTGCAAGCCATACAAGGCAAAGTTGAGAGAACTGGGCATGCTGTGTTTTTTCAGAAAAGGAGATTAAGGGGACACATGATAGAAGTTTTCAAAGATGTGAAAGGCTGCCATGCAGAAGATGGAGAAACATTTCTTCTATATCACAGGGGGTAGGACACAAGGTGGTGGGGTTAAACTACAGCAAAGCAGATTTAGAACAGATCTCATGAGAGAGACTGCCCAGAGAAGCTGTCGAACCTTCTTCAATAGAGGATTTGAAGAAGAGGCTGGATGGGCATTTCTCTGGGATTTTTTGGGAGCAGCAAGTCATCTAACCCTGCAGGGGGTTAAATGACACTGGAGGTCCTTCCAATCCTGGGATTTTCTAGCATTAAGTTTTAGTTTTTTTCACCCTATAAGAGACATTAACAAAACAAAAGTGAAGGCCTTGTTACATGTTAATTTTTTTGGGTGGCTCCTGGAGCTCTGAACTCCTGGGTTGTCTGCGCAGTAACACCTGAAACTAGTTTTAAGCACTCATTATGCAGCTCAAAGTTATGCCGCTCCAGGGCAGGATTACGCGTGCTACCCAGCTTGTGTTATACTAACATGTAGTCACTCTAGGCTACAACTTAGTGTAAGCACCTCCCTCACCCCCTTGTTGCTGGCCTGGATCAGCCCCCTCTTCCCCCCCACCCCATCTTCCCCAGCACCCCAGATCCCTGCTTATTGCCCCCCCTCCCCATGTCTTTCCCCTCTACCCTCCACCCCCCACTTACTTGTGGCTGCTCACGCTGTCTGTCCCAGGGGAGGAGGCAGGGTAACCCAGGGGAGGGTTAATTTGCCTGCCCTGCTGCCACCACTGCTTCTCTCTGGGCCCAGTAACCCAGCAATGGTGGAGGTGGTGGGTTCAGGAGGGCAGGTTAACCCTTCCCTGCCTACTTCCTTGGGATGCACAAGTAAGCAGGGGAGTGAGGGAGGGACCCCTGTGGAGCCGGGTTGGGGAGCCCCAGGGCCAGAAGGAAAGACCTGAATGGTGGGGGGGGTGATCAGGGAGAGGGGGATTCTTACCTTTTCAGTCCTTCAAACCACTGCTGGTTTGAAGTGCAACTGCTCCAAACTTGTGCTAGCCCTAACACCCATCAACATCTGTACGGCTCAGTGTAAAGGTGTAACAAGGTCCTGAGAAGAAAGGCCAAAGACATTGTTCCTTCCATTAGCTCTAGTTCTGAAAAAGGGCGAGAAGTCTAGTGTGTGAAACTCCATTCATTTTAGTTTCTGAAGTATTTCAACTTGAAATGAAAAAGGAACAAATATTTTACTATTGTTTCATTTATCAACTAAACAAATGAAAATGCCACAAGACTTAATTGTAAAAAGTGCTTTTAATTGAAGCCAGAGTTGATGTAGGATTGTTGTTTTGTTTTGTTTTAATCATCAGCCAGCTTATTAAAGATTCATAGCTCTGCAGGGCCCAGACATGGTCCTGCTGAGGCTGCTGTGTATTGTTTTAATGCTACATATAATGCTACCTTAGGTGTCTCCCTGGGCATACCCTTCATATAGGGAATCCTTGGCTATAGGCCAACCACTACCTCTCTGGTGGGGGGAAGAAAAAAAAAAGAGAAGAGATTTTGGCCAGGAGTATCTTTGCATTTTGATCTTGGGTACCAGGATGAAATATGGGGGTGGCTGTACCTGATGCAACTTAAAGGAGTTCCAGGGTAACTTGAAGTTGTCCCTTTCTCTCAAATGCGTATCCAGTTCCCAGAGCTGCGTCAAGCAGCACCTGCCTGACATGGCTCAAGCTCTGCAGGGGTGTGTGCGTGCAAAGGAAATGTTTACATCCTATTCTGGCAAGAGCCTGTTCTGCTCAAGGGCTTGGAGCCAGTGAACCATAGGGCCTAGGCTTTGTCCCTTCAAAAAACAGATTGCCAGGAGCATGTGTACTTTGCTGCCTTTGGCCTACTGCAAGCAAGATACTTCTGACAGAAGAAATGCTAATCTGGTCCCCCTCCACTACCTGCTCCCACAATATAACAGCAGTTGCTACAGCCACATCCCAGACTTACCGGTCCAATTTGTAAAACTCATCTAAATCCCCGAATGAAGCTCTGTGGAGAGCAGTTATAATGTTATAATAGTTTTCCACACACTTAAGCATTTACAATGACTTGGGTATTGAATTATTTAGCCTGAGGGATAATGCTAACCACTTATCCCTTCCATTACTTTTCAGCAAGGCCAATTGGAAGAGGCACCTGGAAATCAGGGGAGTCCAGTAACATTTCTCAGCTCCATGATACTTGGTTAATGCTTGTGCTTTCAGCTGCCTTAATTTTTTAGAGCTGCAGAGAAGGTAAAGAAGCTACAGTGAAATAAATTCCTGTAAATTAGATGCTAATCCTGTTACTAACCTCTCCCTAGGGACTTTAAACTGTCTAAACAATACATTGTCTTTCTTTCAAAGGTACATCATAAGGAATTAGCAGGCTGGGTCAGGCACATGATCCATCTTATCCAGGATCCCATCGCTCACAGGAGCCAAAGTTAGGGAAAAATGGAAAAAATTTAGAATGAACTAGAGGTTCAGACTACGGGACAAAAATGGTGTAGGAGGGCCTGCAGACATGTGAGCGTGTGTATGGCGGAAGAGGGACTGGCTGGGATTCCTCAGCATCCTTCATTGAAATCTGTAACTGGCCAGCTAGGAGATAAGCAGAGCAGACCAGGCTTGATGGTGACTGAAAGCAAAACCTGGCCAACCTCTGTAAGTATATTTGTAAATAAGAGGGAACTGTTTAACTATTTCCTATTTCCTGTTGAATCATCCAACACGAGGAACAGTTTAATCTCAGGAAGGGGCAACAATAGGGTGAAATAAAGGAAAAACATAGCCAAGTCATCAGGAGAGCTTTCCTGACCCAGAGAGCCAAAATGTGAGGGCAGTGCCTCCCAAGGGAGGCTGTTTAAGCCTTTGTTGCTTTGTGCATCTGAAAATGAGCTCCCTCTTAATTGCATGTGTGGCCTTCCTCCCTTGAGGGGCTGTGCACACCATGACCCAGTCCCAGGAAGGCAGAGCGATACCCTTTGTGTAGAGTTTAGCCCGGTCTTCCTGGGCATTGTGTTCTCTCTCCCTCCATACTTTGATGTGCTACATGTGGCTGGGGCAGGGGTTACAGTTCATTTTCTGTAATGCCACACTTGGAGGGATTTTTCATGAGCTAAATTAGGGCCCTCTGCCAGACTCCTAGCAGCACCCAGGAAATAAGACTGAGTCTCCAAATGGCTACAGCCCCAACTCCCTCTTTGTCACAGAAAAAATGGGATCATAGGAAGGCAGGGCTGAAAGGGACTGTACAAGGTCATCTACTTCAGCCCCCTGCTCAAGGCAGGATCGTCCTTGTTTACACAGTCCCAGTCAAGTGTTAGTTTAACTTGACCTAAAAAGTCTCCAGTGCACCTCTGTATAGTGCAGCTCATTCCTCTTGCTGCACCAGCTCAGGGTGTGTGCCCTGCAGTGAGGGGTTGGGGGGAAATGCCTAGACTCCGCTCACTATTCAATTCTCAGCCACTTGTGCAGGCAGAAGAGCAGTAGCTATGCTGAGGTTGGTTTCTCTCCATTGTCAGATGACCCGTGATCCAGGTACACTGCTGGAGTAAAGGAGGCGGGTAAATAAGCATGTAACAGTACTCTTGTATTGCTGGTGCCTGCTGCACAAGCATGTAAGTGAGCCATCATTGAACCCTATATTTGTACAGTAATCGTGTAAATGACAAATGCTAAAGTATCTGCACATCTCATGTACCAGCCATACATGCAGTTTAGGGAAATAAAATATATTCTGCAAAGGGAACAAAGCTGAGCCAATTTGCAGCCAGAGACCTGTGTTACATTTCATCTATTACAGAATCACATTTGCGTAATTAACATGATCTTCTCAGCTTTCCTTGATGGAAGAAAAGAGCAAAACGGGTGGTGAATTCAAAGGATTTAAACATGGAACTTTTATAGTGCAAATTGTTCAGAAGTCTGTTTGAGGTGCCAAATCTGTCCTTATGGTATAAACTAAATATTTGCAGAGAGCAGGAGGAAGCCACTTTATAGTCTGAATGAAAACAAACACAGAGGATTTTCAAACAACTCTGAGGAATAACTCAAGTCAGGTTTTAGTAAGCCAGCCTGGCAGTCTTCCTAGCTGTCAGCCTATCCTGTGGAACAATGGAGCTCTGGGCACGGTTGGAAAGCTTTGACAAGTAAAATTTGGGCTATTCTGAAGAAAGCTCCTATTCTTAAACAGCAGGTTTGGGGGTGGGGGACAGTGGTTCAGGGCAGCTTATGTTTAATACCCCACTCTATTTTTTTAAGTGAATTTCAATGGTAATCAAATCGTAGTTGTACAGAAATCCTCAATGCTTTACCTTGATTATATCTGCTCCTCAGGAAGCTGATTCCTGGCATTTTGATGCACCCTTTTTAACTTGCCTGAGGCTTGCACAGCTCCAAGGAATTTTGCTGCATCATTTTGTCAGATCATTAAGAATTATATCTACATCTAGAAGGACTGATTGATTTGAGAAACCCTACTTTGCTTGCGAGATTTTTCTCCGATTATTTTGACTCCTAACTTTATCCTTAAAATGCTTTAAAAATATATTCTAGAGAAAGAAAAATCAATGAGAATGTTTTATAGACATCTTTATAGCGAAAGCTAGGTCACTCTTATATTTCTCTTTTCTAAACCTTCCTTGAAATGATTCCTCAAGTTTATGGTGACCCACCTATAGCAAAATGCTATACAGAATGCTAGACTAGAAATTCTTCCATTGAAAGACTTCAGGAATGGACAAAGGACACTCTAAAAATAAAAATTTGATCCTTTCTAAAATGCAGTGAAATGATGCAGTTCATAACTAGTCTAAGACAGTCTATGGAAAATATATTTCAAATGTTTAAGAGTCGCAAATGTTCCATTTTGAATTGGTTTTGACAGGTTAGTTCTAAATTAAGCACAGGTCAGAATTACACAAATAGAAAAGCCAGTCTTTTGAATGTCTTCTTACTGGGCATTGCTTTGATCATCACAGTGCTGTTTGACTAAACATGAATAACTGGAATTCTCAGGCTATGAAACAGAGTATTTTAATACTATTACTGTTTTATGTTGTGTGGAAGTATAATTGGCTCCACTTGCCCCTAGGATATTGAGGTGGGGGATACTCTCTGAAAAGTGTAGCTAATGAAATGTGCATAAACACCTGCCAGTCAGTGACTGCACTTCAAATGCTGTTAGCAGACTCAAGTGAACAGGAAGAAAAACATTTCTGAATGTGGGACTTAGGCGAGAGATGCTGTTGGAGAGGTTCTGTTTACCTACTGTGTTCAAGCTCTCAGGAGTCAGCTGTCTGGGATTTACCCAGATGTACCGAGATGATGATAACTCTCCCCATGATTCCTTAGCTGTCACTGAACTCTTCCTTAGAATGGTTGCTGCAAGCCCTCAGCCACCCTGTGGGAGGTGGAGGAGAAATTTTCTGATACCATTATCTTCCTGGGATAGAATCTCCAACATAGGTCTCTAAACACCTATTCCTTTCCACCAATGTGGAGACGAGATGGGCTGTCCATCCTAAGTTAGGGGAATGGGAATCCATGAAAGAACTAGCAACTAGGGTGGAGGCACCCCAGCCATGTGGCCATCTGTCCATATATGGATATCATGTACCTGGGCCATCTCTCTACTAGTTTTGTATCAGAAACCTTGCAAAGTTACACATTTGTGCTGCTAGTTCAAAGAAACCCAGTTCACATGGGTGGTACAGCTCCAGCCTGTGTTGTTTTACAGGACATGGTTACAGGTTAAAGAAGCCTCTATAGCCTGCTTGAGGTAATTTTGGATGTCTGATCCATGTTGGAGAACAGCCACAATCTCTCACTCCAGCTGTGCAGCTCTCTCCCTCTGTGGTAGTGTGTCATTTACACTTGTCAGCTGTAACAAGATAGCAGTGGTGGGGGTAGTGCTCCTGGACAAGTGAGAAGGTACAGTGGGAGCAGGATTCTTGGACTGATCCAAAACCTGCTGCGAATGCCCAATGTCAGTTTGAAGCAATCTGGATGGGTGTCCAAGGAACGATCACAAGTTGTAGATCTAAAGAATTTACAGGGGTCACTTAGAAGTCAGCCTGTGAGCACAAGGCTGGGACAGTGCTTACCAATGAAGCATTTCCATAAAATTTTCTTTACAAAAGATCTAGTTTAGATTTATAAACAAATTATCCTCTTATGCTTATTGCCCAGGCCATAAAATGCCCAAAGACCAAGAGAGTTTGGTTTCCTTTCTGCAAGCATTTTACACCTCCCCAATCATGAGGAGTAGCAAAGCTTATTGGTATGCGCTGCACGCCAGTTACCCCAATGCTGTTTTACTCGGTTAAAAGGCTTCTGCAACATGCCAGCCCCTCTCTCAGAAAAGCATGACCTCCAGTGGAGGAACCATCTCAGAGCTGTGTTCTGTGGGATGAATCATTCAGAAAGTTGTTGCTTCTATTTACCATGTCAAGTATGGGAAGCTATAGTGTTTCAGTCTTAAGGCACCATGGTGTGAAGGCCAGGTGTGCAAATAAAAATAGACTCAACCATTCTGAAACCAGTGAGGCATGTTCTGACACTTCTGTAAGGAGCCAAACACTTCTTAGATATGAACTGTAGAGAGGAGAGAATAAGCTGTTAGTGGGGCGTAGGAGACCTTATTGCCTGTGTACGAATATTTCATTTGGGGATACAGCCAGAAACAAAGGTTAAGAAAGAAAGTGCTGACAAAAAAGGGTGACACTGAAATACTGCAGATTTGTTTTTTGGTTTTTGTTTTTTCTAAATAGTCTTTGATGTGCAATACAATTTGCAGTATATCTGAACCCAGGCTGCTGTTTAAACTCACATGCACTTGACTGAAACAGGCTGAGAGCTGATAGAGGCTGATCTTATTACAGGGACAGTACCAACAAGCTGCTTCAATTTGCATGCTTGTTTTGTTGATTTCACTCTGGTGAGGGAACCAGGGCCCTTGGTGTTTTCAAAATGGTGCATTATAAAACTAGACCCATTGGAAATCACCTTCCCCACCCTCTCCCTTGTGTTTGAGGGGGTATTAATTAAAGTAAATTCTGATAAGTCCCTTCTCTGTCCACCAAGTCCATGCAGAAGGGCCTGAGGATTTTTCTCCAGTGAATTTCTACAGATCTAGCATGCTTTCAAACCTACTTCATGCAGAAATATTGAAGAACTGTGCACAAAGGGAGGGGAGAGAGGTGGATTGCAGGACAAGGTGGAGAAATTCACTGGTTCCCAGCCACTACTTGGTCCAGCCAGTCTAGCAAAAGCTCAGTGCTGCTGGTTAATGAGCAAAGTGGTAGGGCCATTCCTACAACTACCATTGCACCAAAATACATCTTCCATTGGCCACCAAAATGGTGGTAATGGCATTGTGAAAAACATGTTCCTGTGGTTAGGGTGCTTGTTGGGAATTGGGTGAACCAGGTTTACTTTCTAGGTTTGCCCCCAGCTATGTGTGTGACACTGGGCAGCTGGCATAAGGCTTGATGCACAGAAGGACTTGAGCACCTAATCCTGCTCAACTATCCCTGGAGGTACCAAAATCCACAATTTGGATACCTAGGAGCCCTGCACAGTTGCTGCTTAGCACCTGACATCTATAAGCACTTAAGGTTTTGTCAGGTACCTAAATACCTGTTTCTGGGCAGGCCTTTAGTTGTCAATGTCCACGGTGCACAGTACCTCAGGGCCTACACTCCCCTGGGGTGCACAAG